TCGTCAACTCGATTTTGCCGTATTTTAGTGTGAAAAAGTAGCTGTTGTGTAAGATATCCAGCTGTCAAACGTATTATTTTTATTTCTTGTTTGTTTGAGGGAATTGTCAAGTTTTGTCGTGTGGTTTTATCTTTTTTCGTTTAAACGTTGCATTCAGACTATTAATAATCATTTAGTGCATTGCGTTGACTTGAAATTAAAACAGAATAAATATTTATGAAATGACAGAAATCAGATGTTGGACTGACAGACGCCATTAATTTATTCTAGGAATAGCTCCGTTATTCCGTGCGAAACGGCGGTATAGTAACAATTCCCGAATAGGCCCACTATTCTTAGAATTGTAGTTGGTAAAACGTAAAATTGATTTACTCTCGATTAACTGACGAGTTATTCTAAGAATAAGATTTACTCTTGTTTGGTCGAATCGACCCTAAGATACTAAAAACGCGAAATAAATTCTTATATTGTGTCGAACTGACAATGAAATAAAAATTGCAATACATCTTCGTATTTTTCTTTCTCTCACGATCTGCGTTATTTATCTGACTTTTATTTCTGTTTCTCTACGTAGACAGATCAACAAATAGTTGTTCCAAAGTAAATTGAACCTTTATTCACTGTCTTTACAGTGTATTTGAGTATTAAGTCATCACTACTTTTTTGCCTCTTTATTTTCAATTGTTACTTTATCTTTGCTGTATGTTATTTGTTCTGTTTCAATAAGAAATTTTGTTTACCGTTCTATTCTGAGCGTTTACTTTCCCTGGGTGAACAAACTAAAAATCTTCCTGTGTAAGTATTTTTTGACTAAATACCAATATGATAAAATAAATAAACTACCTAACATTAAAGGAGAAGTTTGTTCAGCTTACTCATAATATATTTTTTTATTTTCGTTAACATCTAACCTAAAATATAATATACCCAGGATATAAAAGATATCCGGTAGCCGGAGCATAAATAAAACAGTGAAACTGGTTAAAAAAACCTTGTCTGACTATAAGCGTCAGAATAACACGTCCTTGCGAACAAAGTATTCACATTGAAAAAATCAAGCAGCATTTTAAATTTTACGCTGAACATAAAAAATTATGAGATGCGCGTTCAACTTCAAGCGTAAAGTTAAAAATATGCTTCGTTTTTATTTTTAACTTTCTGAAAGACGAATATTTATAAAACTGTGTTGGATAAAAGCGTTATCATTTTAGATTTTACAGTGGCGAGAGCCAAAAAACGGGATAAAAGGCAACATTATGACACATAACCAAATATCAAGCGTAGTCAACACTTTATTAACAGGCTTTCCGAATGCATTGCGAGTGTATTTATTTGGCAATATCGCTGTTCGTATTTTAATTTAATTTGAGCATTCATAATTTAATTCTAAACGAAGACTCATTACTGCTTTGCGACAGATATTAATAGAAGATACAATAAGAAAGTTTTTTGCTGAAGTTAAAATATCAAATAAAAGCTAAAACTACAATCGGTGTGCTTAGTGCGAGCTTTTTAACGTTCTCGATAGCGTAAAAGTTAACTCAAATTTGTATGCAGTTGGAACAGCGCCCCTGGCGGCAAACGTAGGCAAACGTTCCAACTCCATACTAATTTGAGTTAACTTTTACGCTATCGAGAACGTTAAAAAACTCGCACTAAGCACACAGATAGAAATATTCAAATTGACAATTCTACCAATGGATCAACACAGAAATATCAGACATTTCTTCTTGCACTTATCCCGCTATGTGTGGTCGGCGCAACATGTCCTCTTTTTCCAATCAGACCTATCATACGTCGTCTCATTGCAACTTCTCCCGTTTTCTCTTTCACACAATTCATCCAAGCCTATTTCAGAGGTCTTCTCCACACATTACTGTCTTACTGCTTTTACACCAGAGAGTCATTTTTGGTCACGTGATCATCTTCTTTCGGCACATTTTCCCCATCCACTTTTTATTTTCCCTGTCACTAGCTCTAATTTCAGACGATTTCAGGCATTTTACTTATTTATTAGATAAAACGAATATTTAAATAGAGCGAGCTGAATTTTGAAGTTCACAAAAGCTTTCAAAGTATAATCTAGAAGTTTAGTAAATTAATACTTCGAAATTAAAAGCAGGTACAAAACATATTATGAACTTTAGTACTTAAAAGTTTACGTTGAAAATTACTTACGTAATTATATTTTAAGTCGGGATGCATGTAATCGACACCTGAAACAAAATTCGTGTTCTAAAATAGATTTGAAGGTTTCATTTTTTTGTTATTTATAGAAAAGACTCATTATGATAGTTGTATTAATATTTGATCAAATGTTGGTACCTACACCTTAAGGCTGTCTGTCCACCGGAGCGGAGCGAGGCAGCGAAGCGGAGAAATGGAGAAATATTAACCAATAAGATTGCACAAAATGATTTTGCAATCTTATGATTCTGATTTTGTGTAATCTTATTGGTTAATATTTCTCCGTGTGTGGTTAATTTTCTCCGTTGATAACAATACAAAATTATTGTGCAATCTTATGATTTTGATTTTGTGCAATCTTATTTGTTAATATTTCTCCTTTTATGGTTGGTTTTCTCCGTTAATAATAATACAAAATCATTGTGCAATCTTATGATTTTGATTTTGTGCAATCTTATTGGTTAATATTTCTCCGTTTGTGGTTGATTTTCTCCGTTAATAATAACAAAAAATCATTTTGCAATCTTATTATTTTGATTTTGTTCAATCTTATTGGTTAATATTTCTCCGTTTCTCCACTCCGGTGGACAGGCAACCTAACAGCCGCATTGTATGATTCAAATACACCGAGCATTTTGTCTTTTAGGTCACGACGGAATTTCCCATTAGCTTCAAGACGTTGTGGCCAAATGGATTAGAGAGCCGGTGTAATCGTATCAAACGATGCGACTATGCGAGGTTCGAATCCCGCAGACAGTCACAAAATTTTCCTAATGAAATACTTATTAAACTCACGTTCACGAATGACTACCTCCATGAAGGAATAACATCGTCTAATAAAAATCAAATCTGCAAAGAATTCGAATTTGCATAAATTCTATACAATTGAGACGTAAACTTCAAAGCTCGAGGTGAATGTCTATGAACTCTGGTAGATACTTAAAAGGCATCAAAACAATAATAATAATAAGCACTTAAGAAATTTAAATTGACTGAATATATTAACATTATTTTCTTAGAGGTAATATTTAATTTCCATTTGCATTTGCTTAGTATCTCATTAACACTTCTATGAAGCCTTAAGAGGAACGTCGCAATGAGAAAAACGCATTAAAATGCAAATTTGAAAATTGCAGCAAGAGGATCTTTTATTAACCGAGCAGAAAACAATTTTATGACTGCAATTTAATTATCTTTGAAACCGTTTATTAAATGGAAAAATGTTAATTTATTTAAAGAAAAAAAAGCGTATTAATAAGTGATACTGTCATATGGCAGAAAAATTAAATTCCTTCGACTTGAAATTGATTTAGCTCGTGAGTTGACAAACACTACAATAGCTGTTAAATATTCTGTATTGAACTTACATTTCAATACAGAATATTTATTTTTCGTTTGTTCATGGATTATAATAAATCATCATTGGGATAATCTCATAAGATCTATACCGATACTGGTACTGGATATCTGTTTTAGTAGTAAAAAGCAATATTTATCATTCTCGAGAAAATCCAAAAATAAAAAACTCTAAGTCATTTTTTTCAAATGTCATTATTATTATGATTTTACTTTTTTATTATTATTTACTCATTATAAAAGTAGTCTAATATAAGAATTGCGTAATTATTAATGTTTCATACATTGGTAGTTCAAAAATAGTAATAAATTTAAATTGAATACGACACGGGCAAGATCAGATTCAAGATGACCATTCACCTAAGTTAAAGACAACATAATTTGACGATAACATTTATAAAGAATATTATTTCCCCTTCATTTAACACTTACCATCATCCATGATAGCTGTGGTTACGTTGACGCCAGTGTACCCTTGAGCCCAAGCTGCTTCCACGTTCAGATCAAGCTTGGGTTTCCCGCCGTTTTGTCCCGTGTTCTTCAGGTACCACTGTAGCGGAAAGTAGGGATCACGGGGCTCAGAGGCCGGTACTGTCTCCGGCAGGCGCAGAGGACGATATCCTCTTTTGACGCGTTTGAAACCAGTCTGCTGGACTGCAGTGTGTACCTGAATAATTATATTGCGTCAGATTTGTGCCTCCAAAATATATTTTTTATTTCTTAGATGGGTGGACGAGCTCACAGCCCACCTGGTGTTAAGTGGTTACCGAAACCCATAGACATTTACAACGTAAATGCGCCACCCACCTTGAGATATAAGTTCTAAGATCTCAGTACAGTTACAACGGCTACCCTACCCTTCAAATCGAAACGCATGACTGCTTCACTGCAGAAACAGGCAGGGCGATGGTACCTACCCGCGCGAACTCACAAGAGTCTTACCACCAGTATTAGTTATTTATTTATTTACTACTCCCACTGAACGAGCCTACTCCCATTGCACGCGCCAGAGATGCGAATGTTGAGATGGATGTGTGGAGTGACAAGAATGGACAGGATAAAGAATGAGTATATCATGGGAAGTGTGAAAGTAGCCCCGGTAAGCAACAAATTAAAGAGCGGACGGTTAGCGTGGTATGGACATGTGTGCGTAGAGAGAAGATGCATGTGACTCGGATATGTATGGAAATGGTAGTGCAAGGTAGAGGGGGAAGAGGTCGACCGAAGAAGACATGGATGGAGTGTGTGAATGACGATATGAGAGAGAGACAGAGGAGTGAGCGTTGAGCTGACGGCTGATAGAAAGAGAATGGAAGAGAAAAATTAGCTGTGCCGACCCCACCTAGTGGGATAAGGTGGAGAAAAAGAAGAGATTGAACGAGCCTGCGTCATATTTTATCGACGAAATAAATCGCAAAAATAAACACTGCACTGAAAATCTGAAAACGAAATACAGTATTTAATGAAGATAATAAAATTTCATAAATGAAAATAACATTTCCAAAGGATGTCTTAACTAAGAGTTAATTCTATAAAGTGTTTACAGCGAACCAGTTTTATCACTTAACGTTTTAATTGATTGACTTGCAGCCGAGGCGTCTACAGCGGAAAATTTACTTTCAATATAACAAATGCTTTATTTATTGCGTGCTAGAGAATTTATTTTTAAATTGAAGTTATTCGCTTCTTAGTATTGTATTCGTATTGGATTCCGCGACCCCTGGACGTGTAATAATAAAAACTGTTTTTACAGCTTAATCTTACCTTAATTATTATTATTATTATTTTTTACTTATATGGGTGAACGAGCTCACGGCCCGCCTGGTGTTAAGTGGTTACCGGAGCCCATAGACATTTACAGTGTAAATGCCGCCACCCACCTTGAGATATGAGTTCTATAGTCTCAGTATCTTAACGGCTACCCCGCCCTTCAACTGCTACACGGCAGAAATAGGCAGGGCGTTGGTACCTACCCGTGCGAACTCACTAGACTTCCTACCACCAGTAAGTATATTGCCTGTGACATTCCGAATTGCTTAAATGGTAAACGAGCTCACGGCCAACCTAGTGTTAAGTGGTGATCGGAGCCCTTAGACATCAACAAACAGACATGAGTTATCTAGTCTCAGTTCTTTAGTAAGCGGCTATGGCAAATTTTAAGCCGGGACGTATTACTGCTTCGCGGCTGAAACAGCGGGGCGGTGGTACTTACCCGTGCGGACTCATAAGGACACCATTAAATTTATTCAAAATAAATAAATTGATTAACGCAAATTATTTAACCTCGGGACCGGAACACTTAAATATTTAATGGGAAAAGAGGCACTTACCGGTGCGGACACAGAATATGCCTTACAATTAGTTACTGCGCGATAATATATATATATATATATATATACCTAGTCAGGTCATAAATTCTGTCACATGTTTAATGTAAAATAATTGAAACAAGTTTATTCATTATGTAACCATTCATATACCAAAATGAACTTAACAAAACATAGATTCTTATGACACTAAAGTTTATTCAAAATGACCTCCGTGATTTTGAATACAGGCCTTCAATCTGCGCGTCCAGTCGTCTATCGCAGCACGAACGAGGTCCATGTCAATATCGGCGGCTGCCTTAATCAAGGATGTCTTGAGTGACTCCAAATTGGGATGAGGCTTTGAGCACGCCTTTTCCTCCAAGTGTTGCCATATCTTGTAATCTAACGGATTCAAATCTGGACTGGAGGAGGGCCAGTCTTCGTGCCGGATGAAGTCGATTTCACGCGCCGCCAGCCAGTCTTGTGTGCTCTTCGCTCTATGAGCTGGCGCCGAATCTTGTTGGAATACCCAGTGCCTGTTATTGAACATGGTATGAGAAACAGGTTCCACAAGGTTCGTCAGGACTGTATTTTGATACACAACTGCATTCGTTTTTACACCTTTCTCACAAAAATGTACCTCTGTTAAGCCCCAATAAGAAACTCCCAACCATACCATGAGCGAGGATGGAAAATGACCTCGTTGGACACGCGGAATACGGTTGCTCGCTTCTTCACTACTGTGTGCGTACACCTTATCATTTTGTTTGTTGTAGCTCTCTTCTACGGTAAAAATTTTTTCATCCGAAAAAAGAATTTCCCGATATTTTTTTCCCGCGTACCGCTTCAACAAAGCGCGGCATCTCTTCAGTCTCAGGTCCATTAGACGAGCATTCAAACGATGTCCTGTTTTTCTTCGATATGCCCGAAGCCCTAAGTCTTCATTTAACACCCTTTTCACCGTGGTTCTGCTTAACCCCATCTGAAGGGCCAACAGTTTCTGCTTACGTTTGGGATTTCTTTGAATTCGCGCCTTCACAGCTTTTATCACTGCTGGAGTCCTAACAGACCGAGGGCGACCACTTCTTGACCTGTCATCTACACTAGAGTCTTCATTGTATCGTTTGATGGTACGATAAACGAATCTTTTGGTTATATTCAAATTTTTCAGTATGTTAAAAATTTGAATTGGCGCGTAACCGCAACGATGCAACGCAATAACTGCAACACGGTCTTCTTTAAGCGTCCACTCCATACTTAAAAATTAGTAAAAATTCTAAAAGTATACATTTTTATTTTCATGAACAATTCGAAATTCGAATTCAATAAACTTTTTTGTGGCCAGCATTCTAAAAGAAAAGTTTTTACTGTGTGACAATACTTATGACCTGACTAGGTATATATATATATCACCACTTTTATTTCACAAATCATTAGCAAATCAATTTCCGTTTCAATCATTGCAAATGGTAATCAATGTTTTCTTTTTTCTATTTAAAACAGTAAGCTGTCTTTAGACATTCAACCGCAGTTTTGAGAAAAACAAATTCATAGGTGGTGCATGCGCAATGTCCATTGACATGTCCATATCAATTAATCTACAGTGGATCTTGAGGTACTCTTTTTCTGAGTGTTCTTATAGTCATTTGGGCCATTAGATGTTTATCGAGGTTATTAGGGTGTACTTCCGATCTTTCAGAGTAGGTTTTAGCTCTATGGACTCCAGAAATATAGAAAGAAAATAACAATAGCACCTTTAATCTGTCTTAAAATAGGTAAATTGGTATAGCGTCATAAACCTAGCACTATTTACTCGAATACCTAACTTCATATACTATTGTATCACAACTACAAATCATTGCTAAACTACAATCTTTAGGATACGTCTTCAATTCGACGTATTAGTGCGCATGTAGTCCTCCCCTTCCTTGCGTCGTTCTCCTCATTACTGAGGGCGTGACGCTGCATCAATCTCTTTTGTATGATTGTTCTCCATCTGCTGCCATCCTTGGCTTCGTGGAGGGCATCGTGGAGCTTGATGTCCAGACAAGATCGAATTTGGTTCGACCATCTCGTGGAACTGCGTCTTCTAGGACATTTGCCCTCTATCTAGCCCGTCACCATCAGCTGCTCAAGATTGTGACCCTCCTTTCGAGCAATGTGACCGAAGAACTCCAATACTCGACGAATTCATATTGTGGAGAGTCTAGTTTTAACATTAAGCTCCTTTAGTATCGATACATTGGTGCGAAAGGCAATTCTTGGAGTCTGCAGCATTTTCCTCCAGCACCACATTTCGAAGGCGTTTATGCAGTCTCTGTCGGCCTTTTTCAGTGTCCAGGTCTCCACTCCGTAACTTAATTCGGAGAAAACCAGCGAATTCGCCAACCTGAGATTTGTTTTTGGCGAAATGTTTCGGTCTCTCCATATCTTATGCAGTTGAGATATTGCATTTTTGACTATCCCTAAAGGTCTCCTTATCTATTTTTCACATGCCCCTGAGTTATTAACGTTAGTCCCTAGGTAGATGAAGTCGGTCACGATATATTACACGATTATTATTACTAAGTAGTATTTATAATCAGATAAAAGAAAAAAAAACTGAAGATTTTTGAAAAAATATCCCATACGTTTATTTTATCTCGTAGAATAATAACTCAGTAATAATAACACAATCAGTAACTTTGTCAACATAGCGAACTGGTCGACGCGGATTAGGAGTGATTGATGGTCGCTCCGGCTTATCTCGGATCATGAGGAAAATACTTTATTGTACCACAGCAAAATGAGGCTTTGCAGTGCGTTCATCAATCAACGGGCCCTCTGATTTCTTGAGACTCGCCTAAGTAGAATTAATGGGGATCGCTGCGATGATTGTCAGAAGTTCTTTGATGTATCGCGTTGTATGATTGAAGAACAATTAAAAAGGTTTCTCTGATAACTTACCCCTTTGTAAGGCAAAGGCAGTTTTTTTTTGTTAGATATTTCTGTACACTTCCGTATTAGGCTATTATTCTTTAGCTTGGCAATGTTCATGAATGAGAAGAAACAAATGATAACTTCTTCTTTTTCTGTCTTTCTTATTACCCTCTGCTGGGGTGTAGGGCTCGAATCAAATCCTTCCAATTACATCGGTCTTGGACAGTCTGTTTTAACTCCTCCCACGTCATGCCCAAGACGCCCAGCTCGTGCTCCACCGAACGAAGTTGTTCTGGGACGGCCTCTCTTCCTTTTCCCAGACACTTTCCAAGTCAGTGCTCTCTTGGATTGATAGGTATCGGGCTTTTTTAATATGTGGCCAATCCAATGCCACTTCCGCGTAAGCATCTCCTTCTTCATTAGTGTCTGCTTGGTGATCCTTCACAGCTCCTGGTTAGTGATCATCTCAGGCCAAAAGATTTTCAAAATTTGACGCAGGCATTTATTTATAAACACTTGAAGTTTTTTTTTGCAAACAAACCCAGATTCGCTCCCATACAGCAACACAGGCTTGGAAATGATATACCTAATAATTTATAATTATTGTTTATTACTAATAAGAACATAATTAAAATTATTTATTAATCGTTGTTTTCAAAAACTTCGTAGATCATTTTGCGCTATAAATGGTTACAGGAGGGAATTCAGACACAGAATTTTAAATCAATATAACGCTAATAAAACTATTTTGACGATTATATTTTAGGAGATTTTCAATATTTTTTTAAATAACCTGTATCTTCTGGATTTTGAAAAATGTTAATTATTCGAATCATGGGTAATACAAAATAATAAACACGAAATAACTAAATATTTCCAAGAATTTAATTATTTGAAAACAATAAACTTATGGAATTTTTAAACAATGCACTACAAAAAGGGAGAAAGTTTTAAAAATATTAGCTTTTCGAATTATTTATTAACATTTTTGTTCCTTTTTTTATGACTGCTTTAAGCATTGCACTAAAATACTTGCTTTTTGCAATTCATTTACTACCCATAACCATATCACGTATGTTCAAGATAAATACAAAATCTTAATAGCCATTACTCAGAATTACGAAGAAACTTTGACGTGTTTAAAAATAGAGCTTTTAACAGAAAAATAAAAAGTTCTGCTATCAACTCATTGTACTCAATGAAACTTGGCTAAAGAACCTCGATGTTGTTTTTCGCAACTTGAACTAGAAGCGCTTTAAGTGCTCTTTTTTATCTTGTCTGCGGCGAACGAATTTTTTCAAGACAAATATGTATTTAGCATTTTTTTATTTTAAGAAACGAAAGTTTTTAAATTGTGAAGGAGCTTTAAATCATTCTTTTGTGACCAAAAGCATTTAATGATAATTACTACGTATTAATAATTATGTAAATTGTTCTTTTAACGCGTTTCCGATATTGCGTTAATATTTTATTGCCCTTGTAAGCAAACGAGCATACGGCCCACCTGATGGTGAGTGGCTACCGTCGCCCATGGACCTCAGCAATGCCAGAGGCAGAGCCAGGCCGCTGCCTACAAACGCGACGCAATAGTATAGCAACGTCTTGACTGTACCCCTGACATTGCCGACGTCCATAAGGGACGGTGACTATTTATCATCAAGTGGGCCGTACCCTACACTCGTTATGTATATAAATTAACTATAAGTTTAGTTTAAGTAACTATAAATTTTTACTATTATTAACAATATTCAGTATGCTTAGTACCAATTTTTTTACTTTCTCTATAGCGTAAAAGTGAACTCAAATTTGTATGCAGTTGCAACGTTTGCCTACGTTTGCCGCTAGAGGCGCTGTTCCGGCTTCGTACAAATTCGAGTTAACTTTTACGCTATCGAGAACGTTAAAAAACTCACACTACGCACACAGAGCGATCCAGCAAGAGAGACCAAACTGTGGAAAAGCCATTAAACTATACATTTGACAATTAGATTTAATGTCTCGAAGTGGACGGTGGAACTCGTGTATCTACTGATGTCTATGGCTCCTTCATCAGTTGGAGATATCTCCAAATGCGATTACAAGGATTTGCCGAAGTTATGGCTCTATCCATATTTTGTTTATTGAATTTTTTATTTCAGTTAAAATTTAAAAAGTTGATTTCGATTTAAGAGTAAAACTCGAATTTGCCATTTCACAAGGATTGGAAATTATATAAGACTTGACTTCGGCCTTATTGAAGTTTTTATTTCAGGAAGAAATTATAAAAGACTTGGCTTCGGTCTTAATGAAATTTTTATTTCAGGATATATTATAAATCATACAAGACCTGGCTTCAGCCTTTTTGAAAATTTATTTCAGAAATTATATAGAACAGACAAGGCTGTATGGGCTTAGGTCCCCTTGCCTTTCCTAATAGGGAAAAATTATACCTAAAAAAATGTATATGGTTCCGGCCGTGAGCTCATTGTATATAAGAATATTAATAATGATTTTTGTCAAATTCTGCTGAATTTTTTTTATATTTTTATATTGCTTAGATGGGTGGATGAGCTCACGGCCCACCTCATGTTATGTGGTTACCGGAACCCATAGACATCTACAACGTAAATGCCGCCACCCCCCTTGAGATATGAGTTCTAAGGTCTCAGTATAGTTACTTATATAAATAGTTACTTATTTAAAGTTAGTTATATATATTTGCGCCTACCAATGGATGCTGTTTCAGGATCCTTGTGTGCGCGATCGAACGCCTTGGACGAGCGTGTGGCAACCCGCGATGCGCGAAATGCCATTCCGTCTCAGAACCTAGTACCTGCAACAAAGTCATTATGTTAATTAACAAGATACCATACCACCCTATTTGACAATCGCTATAAAATAGAATAAAGGCACACGATAACGTATCTCAAACTGAATGGCGATGCTTTGAATAAACTTCGATTGACGCTTATTAATAATGATAATACAAGCCTTTATTTGCTGAACTTTTTAACTTACATGCTATTCTTTTAAAAAAGTAGTATTCTTAAATCTAATTTACATAGAAAAAAAAAAAAAATACTAGCAACCACTTTCGTCAGGTTGTGTGTCGACATAGGTATCCCTACAGTTGTTTCTACGTCTCTTTATCCTTGGCAGACCTTCTCCATCCTTATCGATTGACTATTAATATCAGTTGAATCATGAGCTCGTCAATTTGTCATCAGTTGACAATCGCAGTACGCTGGTACAATACTTGTATATTTATGTTATACATACGGCCCGTTTGACGGTAAACAGTCATTCCTCATGGACGTAAATAACGGTAGGAACATAGCCAAGCTTCTGCCAACTGCTGAGGAGTCTCCTCAAACCACTTTTGAAGATGAACATGGTATAGCGCTCAGGAAACATCGTGCCAGAAATTCTAACCTTACTTAGAGAGAAGGCTGCTCTCTTTTAAATCCTTTACCTGCCTTTGACGCCTCGTAGAAGGAGCTGTATTGGAGCTAAACCAACATCGGGCAAACAATTAAAAAAAAAATTAACAGAACCTTGTCCAATGTCGAACGTGTGACTTCTTAACCGAAAACCAAGTGCTACTCACCCAAATCTACGTGCGAAACCATCTTTAAACTGAAGAGTACATTTACAAAGAAATAAATTCTTCCCTTCAAACTAAATGAGGTAATCACACAACAGTATTACTTCTGTAAATTCCTTGTCCATGAACGACGGCAATCACTCGCCACAAGATCGGCAGTTAGCTTTTCAATCTTTTAAAGAAATAAATAAAAAAGTACAACATTGACAATAAGCTGAGCGAAAACGAGAATCCATTGTTATAATAACGACACATAAGAACAATTCATTTTATTCCTTTAGCAAAATGATCTCAATTTTACGAGACTACACTATTCTGCTCCTGATTTTGTTAGCTTTATCCGTTCAAAATTTAATTTTACCCTCGGGGCGTTTACTGAACACACGAAAAGCATATTTTGTTTGTTATTTATATAAGCCACGAGTTTGTCGATATGCGTAGGTAATCGTTGAAGCATTGCGGGTTATGAATAAAACAAACAAAGTCGAATGTTTGTTGATTACCTAAATTTTAAAGGGATTTTGGTGAACTTTGTATTTATTTGAATAATAATCATCTCGACCCTGTGGGGGCCGCTATATGCCTGCTTAACATACTACAACACAAATGCGATGAGACTTTAATCTTTATAAAGGTGTAGTTGCATTCAGGTTGCCATGTCCAATACGAACCCAGGATCGAAGGCTACTTGGTAAATATAACGTTCGCTCTATGCTATAATAAAAATATTTGCGAAAAATTAAACTTTTTTATGCAACACCGTTGTAGTCTAAAATTTGAAGGTTATATTATTATTTCTTAATTATATTATTATATTTTAGATTATTGATATTTTTATGATATATATTATCAATATTAATTATCTATACTAACATATAAATCTACAGTGGTTTTTACGGATGTTCCGTTATAACTACCGAACCATGCATCCGATTGACTTAAAACTTGGTATCCATGTCGAAAATACATGTACTTAATGGATAGGCTAATATTTATATGAGTGTTGGACTCTCTACACCAGTTGCGGGGGCGTTAATGATGAGAATCTTTGAGGGGGTGAGAAATAATAATGTTAATTTTAAATGCCCAGCGAAGCGGACGGGTACAGCTAGTATATTATATTATATTATTAATATTTTCCGGTTTGTAATAGTGCACTTAACTGGAGTAGGCACGACATAGGCATTCGTAATAATCTTTCGTCCATTTTTTGTTTGCATATATTGTGGCAAAATATGGGGAGGAGTATATCCAGCAGTGGCCGTCTCTGGGCTGAGAAATTGTACACTAGCCAAGGTTAAGGCCAACAAATTCATATAGAAATGTGAGGTCTCTGAAATCGTCTGTTGCAAGAATTCGTTTTGGTTAATACGCCCTGGCAAATATGTATATTGTTCTTGCTCGACCAATCAATCTGATCGGATTAATTTTTTAGGCAAATGAATAAAGTGTTTCTTTTGCCATATCAACAAAAAATGTAATATTAAAAAAAATATCTAATATTTAAAAAAAAACAAGACATGCCCGCTGAGTTTCTTGCCAATTCTTCTCAGGACAGAGGCTAATTCTTGTGAATTGGCGGTAGTTCTTTTGACGTTCAACAAGTATGTACTTTCGTTCATGTTGAATAATTTTTTTTTGATTGGATTTGATTTGATTTGAACAAAGATAGTGACGTCAGCACTGATATCATCACACCATTTTAAAACAAGACTTAATACGTCAGCTTGCGAAATATCATAATCTGCTGAAAGCGTACCTTTGTTTTTTCCGCAGTAAAATAATCTCTTAACTGAAAAAAATTAAGTTAATTACGAAATGTAGGCTTTTACCGAAAACCCGTGCCCAGCAGATTACATTACGCAATCCAGCGCTGAGTACCTTAATTAAAAATGTTTAATTAATAAAGACTACCCCGGCTGTTATTATGCTTAATCCTCTTAAAAGTTGTATTATTTTCTTTTCTAAGGAGCGTTCGTGAAACAAAATAGCTTTTTTTTTATTGCTTAGTTAGTTGGACGAGCTCCCAGCCAGGTGTTAAGTGGTTATTGGAGCCCATAGACATCTTCAACGTAAATGCCGCCACCCACCTTGAGATATGAGTTCTAAGGTCTCAGTATAGGCTGCCCCACCCTTCAAGCCGAAACGCATTACTGCTTCACGGCAGAAATAGGCGGGGTGGTGGTACCTACCCGCGCGGACTCACAAGAGGTCCTACCACCAGTCATCATTATCCTGCCCTTCTCCCAGTCACCTGGGGTCGGCGCAACATGTTTTCTCCTTCCATGCTCTTCTATCATATACCATTTCTTCGCTCACTCCCCTCTTACTCATATCGTCTTTCACGCAATCCATCCATTTCTTCTTAGGTCTACCTCTTCCTCTATATCCTTCCACATTCATAGTTAACATTTTCTTACCAACCTCATTTCCATTTCGTCTCATCACATGTCCATACCATCCCAAACGCGCACTCCTCAGCTTCTCTGTCACAGGTGCCACTTTCAGACTTCCTCTAACATATTCATTCCGTATTCTATCCATTCTCGTTACTCCACACATCCATCGCAACATTCGCATCTCTGCTGCATGCAATCGCCTTTCATCTTTCATCCTACCACCGACTACCAGGACCACCAGGTCCTACCACCAGTAATTACGCAAATTATAATTTAACAGGTTTGATTTTTATTACACGATGTTATTCCTATACCGTGGAAGTCGATCGTGAACATTTGTTAAGTACGTATTTCATTAGAAAAATTGGTACCCGCCTGCGGGATCCGAACACCGCTGCATGGCTAGATACGAATGCACCGGACGTCTTATCCTTTAGGCTACGACTACTTCTTTCCTACCACCAGAAAGCCACTGTTAAAGGATCCCACTGCTAAAGAACATAGGTCAATTACAAACGAACACAACATTATGTCGATTGTCGCAGCTTTACGACCCGATGACAGTGCAACAGGCTGACCCCGTGACCCATTTGCCGCAAACCGAGTTACGCGTTAACTGCATTAATCAACCGACCCAGATTATTACTAAGTAGTTATACTCGTTAAACCGCAGGAGAGATTCTATTTCAGCAGTCATGCAGGCCTCGCTTGCGTCTGCACTCTACTTATTTAGACCGAGAGCCTTTTTATTAGCACACTAGCTTTTGCCCGCGACTCCGTCCGCGTGGAATAGTTACTTCATTTACGGAGAAAGTGAAAATATTTTTGAATTATAGAATGTTAAGGAGCTATTTTGGACCCCTATTTTGAAACATTCTTTATTGGTGCTCCACTTGTATTGGTCTTAGAGTGATGTTATATATCCTATAAACTACATCAATAAACGGGCTATTAAACACTGAAAGAATTTTTCAAATCGGACCAGTAGTTCCTGAGAGTAGCGGAGTTCAAACAAACAAACTCTTCAGCTTTATAATATTAGTATAGATAATTTTGGCACCAAAGCGTAATGTTCAGGCTGGCATACGAGCCGCACCCAACGTTTTGTGTTTGACTTCAAGAATCTGAAAGAAGCGAGAAAATTCATTACGAATTATACATATGTTTCAGAACGTGCCACAAGCTTACAGAAACGGGAGATTATTCTCAGATAAGCTCAAGATTTAATTATGCTAAATTTCTAGAAGAGTCTTCTTAATACAACTCAATTTTTGAATATTCATCGGGAGTTCGTGTCAGTCATAGGGGATGACTGTTTTTACGTTGTCCTATCTTAGCAGTCACTGCAATTCCCATTCATTGAGTGACAAAAAATTATCTTTTTTTTTATTGCCCTTGTAGGCAGACGAGCATACGGCCCACATGGTGAGTGGTTACCGTAGCCCATGGACTTCAGGAATGCCCGGGGCAGAGCTAAGCTGCTGCCTACAAAACAAAGAATCAACAATTAATCTCGACTTACAATCTGGATTAACAACAATTTATCTCGAACAGAGGTGACAAACATATCAAGCATTTTACCTGAAATCTTAAACGGGTAATTTAAATGATGCCTATATTCACGTGTTAGGTTAATATTATTTATTGAGTTCCTTAGCTTTTTAGCCGGCTTAGTTAGGCTCATCAAATTTAACGACAAACATTGAATACTAAACGAAAATTTACTTGTTATATCTTATGTTACCTGTTTAGCTTGGATTTAATGACGAAAATGGTATAATACTCAGGAATGTGAGGGCTTTTCATGGAGAGCCGGATTGTAGATAATAC